AAACTCGAATAAGAATTTTAATATTTTATTTTATAATTTAATTATTGATTTACATTAAATTCTTTAAAATTATTTATTTTGTATTTAAATCCTATAAACCCTTTGACCTTTGACCCGTTTCGGCATTTCCCTCATTTCTTTCCCTTGTCCGCCGCCAACTCCTTCCGCCCTCCTTTCGTTCACCCATCGTTCTCCCGTCCTAACTGATGGTAGCACAAGAATGCAACACTGACCGGAGGATGAGTTGCAGGGGAGAAGCAGAAACATATGGCGGCGCAACAATGCATGCAACGACAAGGGAGAAGAAAAGTTAGCGACAAAGACGGACGTCACCCGGTAGAAAGAGAAAGGTTGGCTATTGGAGAATTGGTAATAATATATTATGTGCTAGTGTCGCTGTGGCCGAAGAGAATCCAGCAGGGGTTTGGGGTGTTGTATTTTTGTGTTTTATGAAGTGCTTGCAAAACAAAAGGATGCAATCGACAAATGCAGGAGGCGGAGGACCTACTAGCACAAACAAGAAATGACAAGGACTAATGGACATCTCACAGGGAATAGGACTAAGGTGCACAAACCATAAGGTATAGGACCAATGTGCACAAAGGAGATATTTGTGGTGGGAATGATTTGGAAATTTTCTGAAAGCGAGAGGGTTGAAACTGCAATACTTGTAAAATTGGTCAATTTTCCAACAAGTGGCAGCTACGTCTGCCGCACTGTATTTTTGTTTGATGATGGATGATGGATGATGACGGTTGGATGGGTGAAAGATGGATAATGGGGATGATGGATGATGGTGATGATTATGGAGGATTACCGCGTGGGTGGGTTAAGCTTAGGGAGTTTTATTTTATTTTTTTTAAGACTCAAATGATGATGATCATGAAGAAGGCACACGGCCAACTAAGAAGAAGAAGACTTCGGTGGGAAAAGGACAAGAAGGGTTTTTGTGCCGGCTGGAAAAGTGAGGTGCCGGCAGTAGCAGAGAAAGGGTCGATGACCTAAAGAAAGGGAGGGTGGCGGCCAAAGAATAAGAAAAGGACAACGAAAAAAAGAGTAGGTTTTATAACCTGATTCGATATCAGCTTTGAAAATAGAATGCGTTATATTAAGCAATGATCAACAAAATTATTACATGACTTGTACAGAGAAATCTACAACTAGATAATACCACATGTGACAATATCAATTACAACGTAAACCTAAGTACACGATATCACAACTAACTAGAGATAATTATCACATGGAATAATTATCACATTCACAACGCATAATAGGAAATAGATTAGAAGTCTATATTCGAAATTGGGTTGGTAAAGTGGTGTGACGCATTAAAACTATTTGGTTAGTTCCAGGAATTTTGGAAATTATTAGACCGAGTAATTGTTATATTATTTACAATCAAAATAAAAGTATCTCGATGTTTATTACTAATGATAGCAATCAACAAAAAAATTTATTGGCAGATTTGCATTTCATAGTTTCTTTATCTGTTCCTTTATGCTTGGTGTGGGAACCAGTCTGCCATCTATATTACGGAGAATCTAGTATTCCATGAACGTACAAAACACCTGAAAGTCGACTATCATTTTTTACGAGATCAATATCGTCAATGAGTCTTAGTGCCACTTCATGTTTCTACTCAAGATCAGGTTGTTGACCCACTTATAATGTCCCTGGCACATACTCAAATGGATACTGTCAAAGCTTGGCGTGAAGGACTTCCTCACTCGTCCAACTTGGGGGAGGGAGTTAGGTTAGGGGGATGTAAACCTTCCTCCTGGTCAAGACAATTCATGCTAAGGGACTGGATTGATGTACATAGTCAAAATCAGTACATAGAAGCTGGATGTAGTCAATTGTCTATCAGTGGCATTTTTGCTTCCACAATTAATAAATCCTAATCTTCTCTCCATCTTTCTCGCTCGATTTCTCAACGTAAATACTAAATTTACTTTTCTTGACTTTTTCCGTCTCAGAAAAATAGACCATTTTACTGATATAAAAATAAAGCATATTCTATTATTAAAAAAAAAATGAGAATACATGAATCTATGAATGATTCCATGATCACAAATCATTGTTCCTGGGTAATGTAAAGACCAAATCAATCTTAGAAAATAAGTCATCTTAATTAGTAATATTTTGAATGTGAAAACTCCAAATACGTTGCTCAAAAAAAAACCAAAAAAAGAAATAATCCCACAAATTTGAAGAAAATGACCAATAGTTTGCCCCTAGCACAAAAGATAACAGTAGAAAACATCCATTTCATAATCTTCTACTGATTTATCCATTTCACTGTTCTTCAACAGCAGCAACATCATTGTCATCAGGGCCCTTTCACTTCTCGCTTCCACTCGGGCCTAAGATCGTCACATGAAACGTTAGATTGTCCTGAGAAGGCGTGAAAATCAACAAATCGAGATCCTTCAGATGGTGATCGTGAAAGAACTTGACCCAACCCTGCGTGATATCTTCCAGTAGATTGGCGGAGTAGAGCTGGCCATGAACCATCAGAAGCGTCCCTCAAAGTGATGAGGTTGCGAGATGAATACCTGTGTTTAATAATCCCCCTCCAAAATGGTGGCGGAATTTCCATTTCATTCAAACCCAAAACCAGAGAGAGATTTCTTAATGCGTAAATTTTCGCAAATTAATGAGGTTGTTTAATCCAAAAGAAATCATGTAACTTTGTCCCGCTGTTTGGATCTTATTTATAACACTCAACTTAAGACTTATCAACCCAGGTTCACATATGCAATTGAATCTTACTACTAAGAAAAAGATATATTGGAGCCTTAGTAGATTTGCAATGAAATATTATACATTTAGAAATGACATTAACCAAGCATCGTATCTTATTCTTTCCTTGTGAATAGATTTGTTAAATAACTGAAGAAAGTTTTTCAATGACCGAATCACGTTTAGGTTGAGGTAGGAATTTTTGGATGGCAAAATAATAATAATAATAATAATAATAATAATAATAATAATTTGACTCTTTCATTGTAGACCCTTCCAGCTTAGCACATTGAATTTAAGGTTACATTGTGATGACTTCTTGGGTTACAAAACATACATTACCTTCGACCACTCGTGGCACACCGATCAGAGAATCATCAAATAATGATTATCTATGTGGCTGGACCACGGTTTTGTTAGGGAGTTTCCATTCATAGTATTTTAATTTAGTATTTAGGGCTTTAGCCTCCTTCAATTTTACCCAAGAGAATAGTTTTAAAAAAAATGTAAACAGAAAAAGAAGATGTTTATAAATAGTATTCAGGTCCAAGAAGGAGAAAAAGTTTATCTCATCCGCTCCCTTGTCTACCAGGTCAATTGGTGTAACTATTACCAATTGAGAAAAGCACTCGATTGTACAAAAACATTAAAATGACGAAAATCATAATACGAGCACTATCACGAAATGAAATCGTAAGAATTTTTGTGGATGGAATTTCCTTCTCCTTCCCGGAAATATTTTCAATAACAAAATTTCCAAGAAGCTAGGTTTGTCTATTCTGTGATCCTACCATCATTAAGATTTTTTCTTCAAAAGAAATCTAACATCTTAATAAATATGTTCCAAAAAAACAATTCAATACTGATTACTTCTTTATAAGATGCAAATAAAACATTTAGTGTTTATTTGTTCATCTAACAAACAAAATACAGAACATACGTCGGAAGAAATTATGAAATTTCCAATTCATCATGGGGTAATTACACAGATAAAAAGAATGAAAAGGAATCCAATGTAAAAACAAATAAATATGTAAAATAAAAGATAAATACTTAAGAGACGACTAATGCAACATGGGCATATATAAAGTACTCGTTAATTTACGAGGAAAGAGAAATGAAAACTTTTACCACATGATTGATGCTCAGACCGTCCTGATAATTTTATAAAAGCTTGGATCATGAAAGACTCCATCTACGCGAAAAATGACACAAATATACTCCCAAATTAGTAGTGTAAGCAGGACTATGGCTAGGTTTTCGGAGGTAGAAAGAAATATGTTTCTCGCATTTGGCAAATGCGAACAAATCAACCTCCGCGTTCAGCAAATGCGAAAATGTAGTGGATTAATTACAATGCATTAAAGACGTTGGATTAAAACTGGATAATTATAATTAACTTAATCGTTCGCATTTGGGGTATGCGAAATCTAACTTTTCGCATTTGGCATATGCGAACGTATTAAATCTGCATTTAAAAATTGTTTCCTAGCTTTAAATTGGTATTAAAATGAAATGTTGTAAATTAAATATTTTGGTTGATAAAATGTTGTAATATTTCAACAAAAAAATACTATTTTAATTGAAAATTAAATTTTCTAAATTAAAAGTATTCATTTGATTTAAGTAAATTTATGTTAGTTCTAAATAGAATTGCAATCCTAAAAATTATATTTGGTGAACAGAAATCGTATAATGCATTTATAATAAAATTTGAATAAGAAGTAAATTAAAATTTCGGTGAAAAATTAGAATATAATCTTGCGTTCTGTAACCAAGTTTGCTTTTAAAAAAAATGACTTTTATTTGATTTCAATTTAAAAACTTACCATCATTAAAAATATAATGTCAAAAAATCAAGTTTATTAATTTTAGGATAATAATATTTTTTACATAATAAAACTTAGAATCAATTCATTTAAAGTAAGGAAAAAAACTAAATTTTTAGAATCTGACATAATCAGTCCTGCTAAACTTGATAAAACCACACTTCCTTCTAACAATGATCTTTTGGCGACATGGAAACTTGAATTTGGCACGACGAAAAAGATAGTATTGTATAAAAGTAAGTTAAAAAAATTGTACATAATATTGTCTTTTTGAGAAATTATCTTCTTTAATGTTTGCCTTTTAAAGTTTTTTTTTTATCTTAAAGATTAAATAAAACCGAAATAAATTGTTAATGAAAATAAATGAAAGGTATTGCTTAAAACTAATAACAAAAGTCATAAAATAGCATAAAATAAAAGTACAATTCAATCTAATAGTTCTACATCTTGCGCTTTTTCTCCTGAGAATCTGTCATGCAGCACTTTTTCTTCTTTTTTATGTTCCGCTGTCCCTTACCCAAAGCAATCGGTGTAAAAGGCATAGTATCATCACTGGGGCCCTGTCCCTGATCAGCGCCCTCATAATGATCATGAGAGGAATGCTCAACATCATCAGCATCATCATCATGCTCCTGATCCCCAATATCCTCATGATTTTGATCATCTTCCTGATCATGATGGATATCGTCACCACCTAGATGCTGACTATGATGACCACTCTCGTAACTAGTCTGAAAGAAACCCCCAGCATTAGGATCTAGATTAATAAAATCTGAATCAAAATGCATTTGCTCAAAAGGAGGAGAGGGATGGTGGTGTGGCGATGATGGACGGTAAGGAGACACATGGGGGGTAGAAGATTGCCCGCCGGTATTCTGGGTGGCCACAGGTTTTCTCATTCTCCCACTCCCTAACTGGAAGCCGCCTCGGTCAGTCCTGGGAGGCCTAGGTGGGATATACTCCTGGGTTGGGTCAGCTGGAACAAAATCTTGGCTTGGGTTCTCACTATCAGCCCAAACAGATGTCTTGCTGACAGTCATTGCCTGCTGTGTCAAATCGTGCAGCTGTAAGAAGGCATTGTGATTCCAAGAATCAACTGGATTACGTTGTAGCCCATCTAGAGTAATATGCCGCATGTTTTGCACTAAATTGGCCTGAAAATTATAAAAGGAAATAAATATATATGGTAAATTAAAAATATATAATAAATATATTTTATAAATGAACATATATATGGTAAATTAAAAATAGGAAATAACATTTTAGAAAGTTATATGTATAAAAATCATATTAATATGGGTGTGATTAAAGAAATAGTAGAACTGTAACTTACCATTATATGTAGTGACTCAGCAGATCCCTGAAAACCCTGGGGCTGACGATAGTCTGATGGATTGGTGACCAAAGTGACAGTGTGATTTTGATACCACACTAGATATTCCGGTGCTGCCTGGGGTTCAAGAGTCATATCCGTCTGATGAAGACCTGCAAGGGTGTTGTGTCGATTCTCCCACCTCTGTAAGACGTCATCTCGACATTTCTTACCACGCGTCTCCTTATGCAACTTTTCTATTTCTTTTTTCTCCATGATGAAAGTGTTGTCAGGCACGCGCTGCAAGAAGCCGAACTGGCGCAACACCACCCCTGGGATGTGTGGCTCTCGGATACCAAAATAAAGCAGCCAAGTCTGGGACATCCATATGGCGGAGCCGGCAGAGCAAGATGGATCAATGTCTGCTAGAATAGCAGGAGAATACGGCATCCAAACAAACTGTAGAGGGACAGATAATACAAAAAATTTATGTGAATATATAAGAAAAAAAATAAATTGATTTATACGTTATGATGGTTCCAATAAAAATACTTACATTATGTTCTTGCAAAACCGCAAGTGGTCTCGATAGGCGGTCGATTAAATCGTGTGATGTCTCCCACTTTTCTAGGACGGTTCCACCTACAAAAAAATATAGTTTTGATTGAAAAAACGGAAAAAAATTATTAAAAAATATAACTAATTAAGATAATTATTGAATAGTTAAAAATTAATTACCTCCTGCCCAAGGGACACCCCTGAAGATCTGGTACGGGCCCACGTAACTCCGGACGGAAAGTCAATATCCGCTCCCAAGCCCATAACTATTTTGCAATAAAATAATACGTGAAATTAAAAATACAAATACAATAATTAAAAAACTAAAAATAAAATACAATTATAAATATTAGGATTCTAACAAAAAATTACAAATAAGAAAAATAAAAATAAATCGAAAAAAATTAAAATAAAATGAATAAAAAACTAACAATCAAATACAAATACAAGGGCGGTTTGAAATTACCTGTAAGAGTAGTAAGCAGCCACAAATACCCTGTCCAGACAATGTGATCACTGAGGAAGTGCATAGATTTCGGTACAACCACGCCAGTGTAGCACTACCCCAACTAAACTCCCGAAATGTATTTGGGTCCTCCAAATACCCCACCAGGCCCAGGGGAAAACTGTTTCTGCTGCTATCAGGAAACAATAACCCTCCTAAAATCCATCCGACAAAACAACGTGCCCGCTGAAGGTACATATCCTCTGTAGCATCTCCGGGTAGCAGATTAGTCATAATGTGTCTCTTTATATCTGTGATGTTTACTACCTTATCCTTCGTGGCCTTAGGACGCTGTCGGAATCCAAACAGACTCTCTAAATAATCGGCCCACTCCACATCCTGCGGAGGTACTGTCCCCTGGACCACTGCATGGCCATCAACCCGCAGACCCAGAAGGACCTCGACATCCTGTAGAGTAATCGTCGCCTCTCCGATAGGCAAGTGAAATGAATGGGTCTCAGGCCGCCATCGCTCAACTAAGGCTGTAATGAGGGCCCAATCTAACTTAATGGAACCAATTCGAAAAAGAGGCCCTAGACCAAACTTTGCTATTTGGGCATGTATCTGTGGGGCAGCCTTGTCTAGTTCAGGCCATAGGTCAGTATCCACTCGGTATGCGGAAAGTTCTTTCAAATAAGCCGTATTACCCCTAAATGTATGGAATGACCTATGATCATCATGAAGGACCAATAAACTTTTATCTATAGGACCCTGCTGGAGGTCATACTGTCTAGACTGCGAAGACGATGATGATCCCGTCTCCATACCCTAAATAAAAATAATACAAACAAATACAAATACACTAAATAAATATAATACAAAACAATACAAATACACTAAATAAATATAATACCCTAAATAAAAATAATACAAACAAATACAAATACACTAAATAAATATAATACAAAACAATACAAATACAAACAAATACAAACAAATACAAATACAAATACCCTAAATAAATATATACAAACTAAAACAAATACACTAAATAAAAAAAATACAAAACAATACAAACAAATACAAATACAAATACACTAAATAAAAATAATACAAAACAATACAAACTAATACAAATATACTAAATAAATATAATACAAAATAATACAAACAAATACAAATACAAATACACTAAATAAAAATAATACAATATAATACAAACAAATACAAATACACTAGATAAATATAATACAAACAAATACAAATACCCTAAATAAATATATACAAACTAAAACAAATACACTAAATAAAAATAATACAAAATAATACAAACAAATACAAATACAAATACACTAAATAAAAATAATACAAAACAATACAAACTAATACAAATATACTAAATAAATATAATACAAAATAATACAAACAAATACAAATATACTAGATAAATATAATACAAACAAATACAAATACACTAAATAAATATAATACAAAATAATACAAACAAATACAAATACACTAGATAAATATAATACAAACAAATACAAATACACTAAATAAATATAATACAAAATAATACAAACAAATACAAATACACTAGATAAATATAATACAAACAAATACAAATACAAATACACTAAATAAAAATACCCTAACTACATTAAATAAAAATAAAACACAAAAAAAAAATACAACGCCGGCCGACAACAACGCCGGCCGACAACAACAACAACAACAACAACGCCGGCCGACAACAACGCCGGCCGACAACAACAACAACAACAACGCCGGCCGACAACAACGCCGGCCGACAACAACAACAACAACAACAAAAACAACAACTCCGGGCGATCTAAATTCGCCGGCCGTAAATGCGAACAAATCAATTGAATAAATAAACTAGAACAAAAACGAAATAACACGACATAAATCTGAAAATAAACAAAGCATTATGAAGTACAAAACACTTACCTACCTTTTGTGGAAGAGGCGACGCCGGGAACAATGGCTGAAAACCGGGGAAAAACCGACGGGGAGCGAGGAGGCGCCGGCTTCAATGGTGAAAACCGGAGAAAAACCGACGGGGAGAGAAGTGTACTTCAGATTTAGATCTGAAGTTGTTCGCATTTCCTGTATGCGAACTAAACCCAGATGATGCCACGTGGCGCCCGTGGCCAGATTACAAACTTTCGCATTTCCCTTATGCGAATAATCGACTATACGGAGTCCAGGAGATGACGCCACGTGGTGCGACCTGGACAGCTTCATATTGTTCGCATTTCCTTTATGCGAAATATTCGTGGTCCCGGGAACAGTCTAGAAACTACAACATTTACTAATGTTCACATTTACTAATGTTCTTTGACAGTATACAAATACAAATATAGACTTGCATATTGTTCGAATTATTACACAAACCAATACCAAAATACAAATTCAGAATTCTTAGACTCATTACACAAATACAAACTCAGAATTAATCAAACCATTACACAAACACTACCAGAACCACTATTTAAAGATTATTCAGATTATTACGCAAACACAAACTTTGAATTCCTACTCAGAATTCTGCAGATTGATCATCAGAATCATCAGTCTGCATATGGGGTACACCATGCATTCCATATCGATCGTAAGAATGATTCAAAGGAGTCCTGTCTGAAGATGGATGTGAGAATGCGCAGTTGAAGGTATCATGATCGAATCCTCCACATCGCGCGCAAACTTTCTCAACTACGCATGCACTGGCATTATGGCCTTCTTGATGACATCGACCACAAACTTGAACTCTCTTGTTACCAGATTTTTTCGTATAATCCATAAGTCCTTTCTTTCGATTCACACGCTTCCGACCTGGGCCAGCATGGTGTACGAGTAACGTATCATCAGGCCTCAGATGCCACGTCGCTTGTGGCCATGGTTGAAGGATGGGTTGAATTCTCCGAAAACTGAATAGCCCATTGTTCCCTACTATAAAATGAATCAAAAGCGGTAATGGATCATGACGTAGATACACAACAGCAAAGCGCATGGGAGCAAGGAAACTGTATGTCGCCACTTGTTACATGTGCACATCCCGGCGGCGTAGTTTACCTCATGGATATTTCCACCCTTCCATGGCCGATCAGGTGGTGAGTACGTGACCACTTGGTACTTCGATTCCTCTTGCTAAATCTGGTAACCTCGTGACCCATCGATGTATACGGTAATCCTCATACCGTTTCATGGGATTCGTCGCGAGGGTGAATGGCATTTGTCAATTTCATCAATGTTTTCTGAAACAACTTGTTAGTCTTATACAATGTGGCAAGAATCAAAGCGGTGATAGGGAGCATCCGGCAACCTTTTAAGACATTATTAAAACTCTCGGATATGTTCAAGTCATTTCTCCCCAACGATATCCCCGTCCCAATAACGGGTACACTTCTCAAGACCGATTTGCTGAAGATATATGGCTGCATCTCTATTTTTACTTTCTAAATTCATCCATTCTTTTCAAACTTCCCTTTTGCAACATTGAACAAGCCCTTTGACAAGGTCTTTTGAGTTTCGCCGGGAAAGTTGCCGGCTAAATTTGCTTTGATGTGCTGCAGACAATAACGGTGCACTCCCATCCCTGGAAATTTATCAAGCATAACATCCATAGCAGCAAGAATACCTGTATGGCGATCAGAGATAATGCATGTCTCCTTGTCAAGTAGAACAAATGTTTTCAGGTATTTAAGGAACCATTTCCAGCTGTGCAATGTCTCTTTATCCACGAGAGCAAACGCGATGGGAACAATTGTGTTATTCGAGCACTTCACACATGCCACGAT